GGTATGCGCTCACAGGGGCGCTGCCACCAGGTATGCGCTCACAGGGGCGCTTGTGAGAATTGAACCGATGAGTTTGATTAGGAATGATGAGGGCTTACATAGTTGGAGCTAAGGAAAGGGGGGTGGTTGGTACCTAGCCAACATTATTGGCCCCCCACCATAAGTTGGGTTGGAGAATTATTGGGGGGTCCCAATAATGTTGGTCAAAGTGGGCCAACATTATTGGGGGGGCCAATAATCCTCCAACCCAACCTTGGGGTCCAATAATTGGGCCAAGGTTGGGTTCCAACCCCCACCTAGGGTTTAACCCTAGTTGTGCACCCAAACATTGTTTGGGTGCCTATCTCTATCCTAGGGTTTATAGGATCAATGCAGGATACAGAAGAGTAGTATAATCTAACACAACCCCTTAGCCTGCAAAGATCCTTAACCTGGATGAGATAAGACAGCAACCCCTGAATCAGTCACCATGGGGGGCAAGGCCCAGGAGGGGCAAGATTGCCGAGTGAGTAGCGCGGTCGAGGGCCTTAGTGAAAATGTCGGCGGGGTTGGAGGATGAGTCGATCTTGCGCACGGTGATGTGGCCATCCTGGACAAGGTTGCGGACGAAGTAGTGTCGGAGCTCGATATGCTTGGAGCGACCATGGAAGACAGCTTCTTTGGTGAGGTGGATGGTGCTAGCGTTGTCACACCAGAGGGTGGGACATGGTTGTGGTGAGCCAAGGTCTGTGAGGAGATAGCTGAGCCAGCGTGCTTCCTGTGCCGCCATCGTGACCGCGTATAGTTCGGCTTCGCAGGAGGAGAGGGCGAGAGAGGAGGATAGGGGGAGGGAGGGGTTTGAGGTGCGAGGGTGGGTGTGGTGAGGGTGGGAGGCGTTGGGGTGGTGGTGGGTGTGGGGAGGAGGTGTTGGACTTGCTGGAGGACGTGAGGGGAGAGGTGTTGGGCGAGGAGATTATGGAGGTTGGGGGAGATGGTGCATAGGCGGGGAGGGTGCGAATGTCATGAGGGGTGGGGCGAGGGGTGATGGTGCTCCAGCGTGGAGGAGGGCCCGTGTTGCCGCGTGCAAGCCATTCGTCGGTGAGAGCTTTGAAGCACGTATCAGTGGGATGGGTGGTCTGGTTGCAGGTCTGACCTTTGTTAGGGCCTTGGCGAATGACATACTGGCACGGAGGGAGCCCATCCGTGGTTGAAGTGTTTGCCCCACGCCCGCCACGTTCCCAGTGCGCCCTCCTCGTCCACCTCCGCGACCGCCTCCTCTTCCACCACCGCCCGAGCCACGTCCTGGTCCGCCCCCGCTGCTTTCGCCGGTGTTTGTTCCTTTGCGCGCATGAACGGCATTGATGGAGGCAGATTCACGCAGAAGGCCAGCCTCACTGTCAAGGAGCCAGTCGATGGTAACAGCCACAGGAGGAGGACGGATGTGCTGGGAGGTGAAATTGATGCGGTAAGTGTCGTAGGTGGGTGGGAGGCAGTCAAGGATGCGTGCTGTGAAGGGTGTCGGAGATCAAGATGCCACGATCATTGAGACGTTGTGCAGTGTCCGTGAGGCGCCGAGCGAAGGAAGCAGCGTTGAGGGAGGAGTCCAGTGTGATGTCTTGGAAGGTGCGAAAGAGGGAGAGGAGGGAACGTAAGTCCTGGCGATCATATTGGGAGGAGAGAGGACTTCCAGAGGGAGGGGGAGGATGGGGGGCGAAGGTCACGCTTGAGAGAGGAGGGAACGCATGAGAAGATGATAGTAAGTGCACGGCGGTCAGCAATGCGCCATGCAGCTGTATCGGAGTGGTGCTTACGGAGCTTAGCAGAGTACTCTTCGGAGGCGGCTTTGAATTCTGCAAGTTTTGCAGTGGCAGCTTCGTGATCGGCGATGGCAGCTGCGTGTGCTCTGCTTTTGATGACATAGTCGTCCCGCTCCTTGTTGTATTTGTTGAGCGTGCGAGCCCACCTGTCCGGATCATCCTCCCAAGCCCCTAGGATAGGGGCTTGGGGGGCAGGTTCGGTCGGGAGTGGTGGGGCGTCGGGGGGGGGAGGAGCCTGGGAGTGGGGGCGGAGTGGGGGGGAGGCTATTAGGTGTTTCGAGGACAACGTCTAGGAGGCAGTAATCTCCCACTCGAACGGAGCCCAGGTACGTGAAGAGGCTCTCCTCAAACGACACCCAATTGACGGCGGTGGTGCCGTTGAGGAGCTCGAGCTTGTCGATGGAGGCAAGCTCAAGCGAGGTTGATTCGTCGGCCATGAGAGGAGGAGGAGGGAGGGAGGGGAGGTGGACGACACCGTCTTGAGGGACAGAGCGGTCCGGCTGCTCCACGGGCGGTAGCAGCAAACCCTAATTCAGGGTCCGTCGCGGCTGGGTGGGCGTCTCCGCGGCGTCCGCGGCATCCGCAGCTGGTGGGCGTCTCCGCGGCGTCCGCGGCTGACGGCCGCGTTCGTCGCGTCCGCGGCTGACGGCCGCGTTCGTCGCGTCCGCGGCTGACGGCGGTTCGTTCGTCGCGTCCGCGGCTGACGGCCGCGTTCGTCGCGTCCGCGGCTGACGGCCGCGTTCGTCGCGTCCGCGGCTGACGGGCGCGTTCGTCGCGTCCGCGGCTGACGGTCGCGTTGTCGTCGCGTCCGCGGGCTGACGGTCGCGTTCGTGCGTCCGCGGCTGACGGTCGCGTTCGTCGCGTCCGCGGCTGATGGGCGCGTTCGTCGCGTCCGCGGCTGACGGTCGCGTTCGTCGCGGCGGGCGGACGTGGTGAGGAGAGGGGCGCCGAGATGGCGCGAGGGGCACGGCAGAGTCGGCGGGAGGTGCGCTGAGCGGCGCGAGGGGCACGGCTGAGCCGGCGGGAGGTGCGCTAAGTGGCGCAAGGGGCACGGCAGAGCCTGCGGGAGGTGCGCTGAGCGGCGCGAGGGGCACGGCTGAGCCGGCGGGAGGTGCGCTAAGTGGCGCAAGGGGCAGGGCAGAGCCGGCGGGAGGTAGAGTATGGTCCTAGGATCTTGAGTGGCGTTAGCCGTAAGAGCTCTGATACCATGTGAGAATTGAACCGACGAGTTGATTAGGAATGATGAGGGCTTACATAGTTTGGAGCCTAACGGAAAGGCGGGGTTGTTGGTACCTAGCCAACATTATTGGCCCCCACCAATAAGTTGGGTTGGAGAATTATTGGGGGGTCCCAATAATGTTGGTCAAAGTGGGCCAACCATTATTGGGGGCTCCAATAATCCTCCCAACCCAACCTTGGGGGTCCAATAATTGGGCCAAGGTGGGTTCCAACCCCCACCTAGGGTGTAACCCTAGTTGTGCACCCAAACATTGTTTGGGTGCCTATCTCTATCCTAGGGTTTATAGGATCAATGCAGGATACAGAAGAGTAGTATAATCTAACAGCGCTGCACCATGCAACCAGGTATGCGCTCACATGGGGCGCTGCCACCAGGTATGCGCTCACAAGGGGCGCTGCCACCAGGTATGCGCTCACAGGGGCGCTGCCACCAGGTATGCGCTCACAGTGGGCGCTGCCACCAGGTATGCGCTCACAGGCGCTGCCACCAGGGCACAGGGGCACAGGTATGCGCTCACAGGGGCGCTGCCACCAGGTATGCGCAAGGAACATTTACTTCAATGTTCTGCCCATCCCTCTTATTCCTCCCACTCATGTCTTTCCATTTTCCCTTCCATCTCCCCTCTCATCCTCCCCCCCGGGCCAGGCCCACTGGTGGCGGCGGCACTGGGCGAGCTGGGAGAGCTGCTGGCGCTGCTGCGAGTGTGGGGCATCCACCCCGCGTGCACCACCATTCGACGCCCTCATGGCGCCCTCCCACCACTACTTCTCCAAATGCTTCTTCCAGGTCTCCCCCACCCCCTTCTTCTTTCCCTTAAGCGCCCTCTTTGATTTGCTGCTCCTGTTTCCTCCGTGCATGTGACATGCAGCCATGGAATGTCTCCAGTTCTTATTTTCCAGCCTTGTTCACCCTGCCTCCTGCGTCGTTGTATCTCCTGCGTGCGCTGCACCTCAGGTCCACGCAAGGCACCTGCCGTCTCAACCTCCCCATCACCAGCACCAGCAGCAGCACCCCGTAAACCCTATCAGCACCCAGCGCACCACCCTGCCCTCTGATGCTTCCTTGCCTGGCGCTCGCTCGCTCTCCGCCTCGCCCCCATCCGGCCCTGGCCGCCCCGTGGTCGTCCTCGCCACCCCTCTGCGTGGCTGTGGGCGGCCGCTACGATGCCCTGCTGCTCCACCTCTCCTCCGCTGCTGCCGCTGGGAGAGGAGCGGTGGGTTGTTCAGACGGGGATGCATGTTAGGGGCAGGAAGTCGAAGCGCGTGGCATGGTCTGGCAGTATTGGGGACTTGTGACCTCCATGTTTGCAGGAATGGGCGTGTGGTGAGGTGTGGGGTGTCAGACATGGGTAGCTCCACTGCAACGTCCCCATATTCCCCTATTCTTCTTTCTTCATTCCCTGTTTGCATGTTGTTCCTTCTCCTTGTTCTCGCCTGTTAGTCTGCTGCTCCCTGCTGTAACCGTCAAGTGTTGTTGTGTGCCTCTTGGTTGGTCCCTTGCCTGCGTGTCTGTGTCTCTCGTGTATGCGCATGTCTGTGTCTGTGTCTCCTCCCTGTCATTGCGTCTGCGTGGCCTGGCCCTCTCCTTGATGCTTTGTGCCATGTGCTGCATGCCTCCTCTGCTGCTTTGTGCCGTGTGCTGCATGCCTCCTCTGCTGCTTTTTGCCGTGTGCTGCATGCCTCCTCTGCTGCTTTGTGCCGTGTGCTGCATGCCTCCTCTGCGTGTGCTGCACGCCTCCTCTGCTGCGCAGAGCTCTCGGGCAAGAGGGGCAGGAGGCAGTGGGGGGGGCAGTGGGGGGGGGAGTGGGGCGGTGGGGTTCAGTGTGGCGCTGCACAAGCTCATGGCGCCGTCACACCCAACCACCCACCACACTTCCAGGTGCCCGCTCACACGCATCTCGCTCCACCACCTACTTCTTTCAACCCCTCTCACTTGCTTGGCACACCCTTTGCTTCATCACTTTCCTTCCCTCATCCTCTCCTGCACACTCTCCCCTCACCCCTCCACCCGCACCCCCCTGTGCGTGTGTGTGGGGGAGCAGGCAGGGCAGCGGTGGATGTGCTCGTGTGCGCCAGGGGAGGGGCGGGGCTGCTCAGCGAGCGGATGGAAGTTTCTGCGCGGCTGTGGGCGGCAGGAATCAGGTAGCTATGGGCGGCTGGAGTAGTAGCTTTGAACGGCGGGGATAAAACAAGCTCTTGGTGGCAGGAAAACGTTCCTGTGGGCAGTGGAAGATTTCATACACTACACTGTTTAGTGAGGGATGATATGCTGATAGTGACAACGTGGAATCCTGTCCCCACTGCCCAATGTGCGGTGCATGTGCGGCAGGCGGAGTATGTGAGTGTGCGGGCACCCAGCCTGACGGAGCAGTATGAGCACGCACACGAGCACGGCATCAAGTGGCTCGTGCTTCTCACCGATGCCGGCCTGCACACCCACTCTGCCAAGGTGCGTCTCGCTCTCACATGAGAGGTTGGTAAGGCAGTCACAAGGGTGTGCGGGTGGGGGAGGAAGAGGGTGAGGGTGAAGAGGTGAGAGGGGGGTGGAAAGCAAGAGTGCAATCCTTTGTTTTGAGTGTGAGAGAGGGAACATGAGTGGAGAGGAACAGAGGAAAGGGAAGACATAGGAGGGAAGGGAGGAGGGGTGAAAGATGGACGAGAGAGTCAATCTGTGCCTCTGGTCTCTCTGTGCACATCCGTGCTTGTATCAGGTACGGCATCTAGATTTGAAGACGGAGGAGGAAGTGAGCCTTGATGATTTGGTCAAGTTCTTCCTCGACGCCCTGCCGTTCTCTACCCACTTCTCGCCGCCGCGGGGCCACAGCACCATCTGGTTCTGGCGCTGCTTGACTTCTGGCTCACCCATAGTTTGAGCAAGTAGAGCATAACTACACCATTGCCCATGTAAGACTCGTCTTTTGTATGTCAAAGGTGCTAAAATAATAATAAGAATGCTTTCTTCTTGTATGATAATGTATTGCTTCCAAATTGTTTTGTACCCTCGCTAAATAACGCACATGCTACACATGAAAGCGCGTGCAAGGACTGGTCCCCTAATGGCCTGGTCCGCTAACTTCCTGGTCCACGAACTTCCTAGTCCGGCGGAAGAACGCACGGAACGAGTGCTTCCAGCCCCAAAACACGGAAGGATCCTGCACATGTGCAGGAAGTGCAGCGGGCGCTCTTCATTCGCAGAGCGCCGATGACCGACGATGCTCGCAACCCTCCCATGCCCTTTCTGGCTTGGCAATAGGCCCAGACAAGCACAGCCACATGACTGGTGGAAGAAAAACGCTCGGAAACGAGCGCTTCCAGCCCCAAAACGCGGAAGGATCCACACATGTGCAGGAAGTGCATTAGGCGCTCTTCATTCGCGAGCGAAGATGGAAGATGATGCTCGCAACCCTCCCACGACCTTGCTGGCTTGGTAATAGGCCCAGACAAGCGCAACCACGGTGACCCGGCGGAAAACAAACGCTCGTAACGAGCGCTTCCAGCCCCAAAACGCGGACGGATCCTCACATTTGCAGGAAGTGCAGCGGACGCACTTCATTCGCGAGCGCCGATGACCGACGATGCTCGCAGCCCTCCCACTCCCTTGTTGGATTGGTAATAGGGACAGACAAGCGCAGCCACGTGACCCGGCGGAAGAAAAATCGCTCGGAACGAGCGCTTCCAGACCCAAAACGCGAAAGGAGCCTCACATGTGCAGGAAGCGCAGCGGGCGCTCATCATTCGCGAGCGCCGATGACCGATGATGCTTGCAAACCCTCCCACGTCCTTGCTGGCTTGGTAATAGGACCAGACATGCTCAACCACGTGACCCGGCGGAAGAAAAACGCTCTGAACGAGCGCTTCCACCCCCAAAACGCGGAAGGTAGCCGCACATGTGCAGGAAGTGCAGCGGGCGCTCTTCATTCGCGAGCGCCGATGACCGACGATGCTTGCAACCCTCCCATGCCCTTCCTGGCTTTGGTAATATGACCAGACATGCGCAGCCACGTGACCCGGCAGAAGAAAAACGCTCGGAACGAGCGCTTCCACCCCCAAAACGCAGGAGCCTCACATGTGCAGGAAATGCAGCGGGCGCTCATCATTCGCAAGCGCCGATGACCGATGATGCTTGCAACCCTCCCACGCCCTTGCTGGCTTGGTAATAGGACCAGATAAGCGCAGCCACGTAACCCGGTGGAAGAAAAACGCTCGGAACAAGCGCTTCCACCCCCGAAACGTGGAAGGACTCGCACATGTGCAAGAAGTGCAGCGAGCGCTCTTCATTCGCGAGCGCCGATGACCGATGATGCTTGCGACCCTCCCATTCCCTTGCTGGCTTGATAATAGGACCAGACAAGCGCAGCCACATGACCCGGCAGAAGAAAAACGCTCGGAACAAGCACTTCCACCCCCAAAACGTGGAAGGACTCGCACATGTGCAAGAAGTGCAGCGAGCGCTCTTCATTTCTCGAGCGCCGATGACTGATGATGCTTGCAACCCTCCCGCGCCCTTGCTGATTTGACAATATGACCAGACATGCACAGCCACGTGACCCGGCGGAAGAAAACGCTTGGAACGAGCGCTTCCACCCCCAAAACGCGGAAGGATCCAAACATGTGCAGGAAGTGCAGCGGGCGCTCTTTATTCGCGAGCGCCGATGACCGATGATGCTTGCAACCCTCCCACGCCCTTGCTGGCTTGGTAATAGGATCAGACAAGCGCACCCACCTGACCCAACGGAAGAAAAACGCTCGGAACGAGCGATACCACCCCCAAAAACGCGGAAGGAGCCTCACATGTGCAGGAAGTGCAGCGGCGCTCTTCATTCGCCGAGCGCCGATGACCGATGATGCTTGCAAACCCTCCCACGCCCTTGCTGGCTTAGTAATAGGACCAGACAAGCGCAGCCACGTGATCCGGCGGAAGAAAAACGCTCGGAAACGAGCGCTTCCACCCCCCAAACCTGGAAGGAGCCTCACATGTGCAGGAAGTGCAGCGGACGCTCTTCATTCGCGAGCGCCGATAACCGATGATGCTTGCAACCCTCCCACGCCCTTGCTGGCTTGGTAATAGGACCAGACAAGCGCAACCACATGACCCGGCGGAGAAAAAACGCTCTGAACAAGTGCTTCCACCCCCCAAAACGCGGAAGGATACGCACATGTGCAGGAAGTGCAGCGGGCGCTCTTCATTTGCGAGCGCCGATGACCGACGATGCTTGCAACCCTCCATGCCCTTGCTGGCTTGGTAATATGACCAGACATGCGCAGCCACGTGACCCGGCAGAAGAAAAACGTTCGGAACGAGCGCTTCCACCCCCAAAACGCGGAAGGAGCCTCACATGTGCAGGAAGTGCAGCGGGCGCTCATCATTCTCGAGCGCTGATGACCGACGATGCTTGTGACCCTCCCACGCCCTTGCTGGCTTGGTAATAGGACCAGACTAGCGCAGCCACGTGACCCAGCCACGTGACCTAGCTCGGAACGAGCGCTTCCAGACCCAAAACGCGAAAGGAGCCTCATATGTGCAGGAAGTGCAGTGGGCGCTCATCATTCGCGAGCGCCGATGACCGATGATGCTTGCAACCCTCCCACGTCCTTGCTGGCTTGGTAATAGGACCAGACATGCTCAACCACGTGACCTGGCGGAAGAAAAATGCTCGGAACGAGCGCTTCCACTCCCAAAACGCGGAAGGAGCCGCACATGTGCAGAAAGTGCAGCGTCTTGCAGCGTGTGCGAAATTGCAAGAATGAGGGCCTAGCGTGTGCAAAATAGCAAGAACAAGGGCCTAGCGTGTGCAAAATTTCAAGAACAAGGGCCTAGCATGTGCAAAATTTCAAGAACAAGGGCCAAGCGTGTGCAAAATTGCAAGAACAAGGGCCTAGCGTGTGCAAACTTGCAAGAACAAGGGCCTAGCGTGTGCAAAATTTCAAGTACAAGGGCCTAGCGTGTGCAAAATTGCAAGAACAAGGGCCTAGCGTGTGCAAAAATTGCAAGAACAAGGGCCTAGTGAGTGCAAGATAGCAAGAACAAGGGCCTAGCGTGTGCAAATTTGCAAGAACAAGGGCCTAACGTGTGCAAAAATAGCAAGAACAAGGGCCTAGCGAGTGCAAAATTGCAAGAACAAGGGCCTAGCGTGTGCAAAATTGCAAGAGCAAGGGCCTAGTGTGTGCAAAATAGCAAGAACAAGGGCACAGCGAGTGCAAAATTGCAAGAACAAGGGCCTAGCGTGTGCAAAATTGCAAGAACAAGGGCGTAGCGTGTGCAAAATTTCAAGAACAAGGGCCTAGCGTGTGCAAAATATCAAGAACAAGGGCCTAGCGTGTGCAAAATTGCAAGAACAAGGGCCTAGCGAGTGCAAAATAGCAAGAACAAGGGCCTAGCGTGTGCAAAATAGCAAGAACAAGGGCCTAGCGTGTGCAAAAGTGCAAGAACAAGGGCCTAGCGTGTGCAAAATTTCAAGAACAAAGGCCTAGCGTGTGCAAAAGTGCAAGAACAAGGGCCTAGCGTGTGCAAAATTGCAAGAACAAGGGGCTAGCGTGTGCAAAATTGCAAGAACAAGGGCCTAGCGTGTGCAAAATAGCAAGAACAAGGGGCTAGCGTGTGCAAAATTGCAAGAACAAGGGCCTAGCGTGTGCAAAATTTCAAGAAAAAGGGCCTAGCGTGTGCAAATTGCAAGAACAAGGGCCTAGCGTGTGCAAAATTTCAAGAACAAGGGCCTAGCGTGTGCAAAATAGCAGGAACAAGGGCCTAGCGTGTGCAAAATTGCAAGAACAAGGGCCTAGCGTGTGCAAAATTGCAAGGACAAGGGCCTAGCGTGTGCAAAATTGCAAGAGCAAGGGCCTAGCGTGTGCGAAATTGCAAGAACAAGGTCCTAGCGTGTGCGAAATTGCATGAACAAGGGCCTAGCGTGTGCAAAATTTCAAGAACAAGGGCCTAGCGTGCGCAAAATAGCAAGAACAAGGGCCTAGCGTGCGCAAAATTGCAAGAACAAGGGCCTAGCGAGTGCAAAATAGCAAGAACAAGGGCCTAGCATGTGCAAAATAGCAAAAACAAGTGCCTAGCGTGTGCAAAACTGCAAGAACAAGGGCCTAGCGTGTGCAAAATTTCAAGAACAAAGGGCCTAGCGTGTGCAACATTTCAAAAACAAGGACCTAGCCTGTGCAAAATAGCAAGAACAAGGGCCTAACGTGTGCAAAATTGCAAGAACAAGGGCCTAGCGTGTGCAAAATTTCAAGAAAAAGGGCCTAGCATGTGCAAAATTGCAAGAACAAGGGCCTAGCGTGTACAAAATTTCAAGAACAAGGGCCTAGCGTGTGCAAAATAGCAGGAACAAGGGCCTAGTGTGGTAAAATTGCAAGAACAAGGGCCTAGCGTGTGCAGAATTGCAAGAACAAGGGCCTAGCGTGTGCAAAATAGCAAGAACAAGGGCCTAGTGTGTGCAAAATTACAAGAACAAGGTCCTAGCGTGTGCAAAATTGCAAGAACAAGGGCCTGGAAAATTTCAGGAACAAGGCCCTAGCGTGTGCAAAATAGCAAGAACAAGGGCCTAGCATGCGCAAAATTGCAAGAACAAGGGCCTAGCGAGTGCAAAATAGCAAGAACAAGGGCCTAGCATGTGCAAAATAGCAAGAACAAGGGCCTAGCGTGTGCAAAATTGCAAGAGCAAAGGCCTAGCGTGTGCAAAATTTTCAAGAACAAGGGCCTAGCGTGTGAAAAATTTCAAGAACAAGGACCTAGCGTGTGCAAAATAGCAAGAACAAGGGCCTAGCGAGTGCAAAATAGCAGGAACAAGGGCCTAGCGTGTGCAAAATTGCAAGAACAAGGGCCTAGCGTGTGCAAAATTGCAAGAACAAGGGCCTAGCGTGTGCAAAATTG